CGCACCTTTGGTAAAACAACAGAGGGAAAGGCCAGTGCAGAATCACACGCTGGACTCTGTGGTCTTATAGGGGCCCCCTTTAGAGAGCGTTTGGTCTTAATATGGCTTCGGGTGCCCCCCTCCGCCTTCTGAGATCAGGCCAGCAGCAAAACCCAGGAGAGGGCAGGGTTGTCAGCCTCCGGATGACGTCCCCCAGAGATGACATCGTTGCACCAGGCGCGTCGTGCGGGAGACGCTCTGGCATTTGGCTAAAACTCTATGGTGGGCGACTGTGGGCCCCTACAAAGCAAAGGCCTTTGAAATCCTATTCATCCCACCTTTTGGAACTCGAGTGCGAATTTAACTCTCCCGGTGGAATTCAGGAGCCTTAATCTGCCTGGCCTTCGTCATCTGTGTGGCCTCAGGACCAAGATGGTTCAACAAAACCTGAAGCAACCGTTGACTCAAGAGGGAAAAAATGTTCCATTTTTAAAGATATGCGGCTGTATATCCCTATGTTTTATTTATGGAATGCCATTCCTGTCCTGGGCACATTGTAAAATTTCTTCTGCAAAAACAAAAACGAGCGTGTGGGCGACTCTCGCAATAGTAAAAAAACCCAATTTTGCTCATTTTGGGGGCATGGTTTTCCACCAGCTATTTTGGTCGTTGCATGCCTGTCTTGCAGAACAGCTCTCGGATTACAATTTTCATAATTCCGATTCCTATCTCTAGATTCTTATCTCGGTATACGACTCGAATGTTTCCCTCAGTCCATTAGTTCTAGACCTACCGCCGTCTAATCCCAAATCATTCATGGGATACTGATTCATCCCATTTTAACTGGAGAGGGCGGTCAAATCGAGACAAGCAACTTCCCTGTATCAGCCACTGGGAGTCACAGCTGAGTAGATATTCGAACCCAGAACGCCCAGGTCTGAACCCTTCTACAAGTAGGGTTGCCAAGTCTTCTTACCTTGGTGGCGGGGGAGCCTCGCTGGGCTCCGGGAGCTCTTCGGAGGTGCGTGCTTTGCGCGCACGCACCGTCAGCACATCACAGGAAGTGACGTGCTACGTCGCTCACGTTGAGGGAGTGGCCCAGATCGTCGGAGGGAAAACCACGCCCCCAACGTGAGCACCGTGGCTGCGCTTCGGGGGGCGGAGTTCCCCCTGGGGCCTGATTCCGCCGTGGCGGAAATCGGGCCTCCAAAGCGGGGGCTTACCCACTTGGCAGCCCTACCTACAAGGAAGACTATGAGTTCCTAAAGGGTACATGCAACACACCTGAAATCTAGCTAATAGGGCTCCCCTCTCCCCTTCTATCACATACACACACATAGGGGAGAGAGAGAGACAGAGAGACAGAGACAGAGAGACAGATTGATTGATTGATTGATTTAGGGTTGCCAACTTCCAGGTGGGGCCTGGGGATTGTCAAACCTTGCTTCGCTTTGCTTTGCTCAGTTTGCCATGGACGCTGGGGGGGGGTTTTTCCTTAGGAGGGGGTGTGAGTGTGGAATGTGCGACTGCTCTATCATAGAAGCGTAACTCTTAAGGAGAGCCTTTCTCTGCTTCACAGAGGGACGTCCTTGAATCTTCCAGTGCCAGCTTGCTTAGTAGAGAATGGAATCCTATATTTCCCATGTGAAGGGGAGGGTCAGAGACAGGGTGAATGTGACGTATGCCCTGGGGCTTAGGAGGGGTTACATTTGAGTCGCCGATCGCTTTGCATGTACCCGCCAAAATCTTCAGAACTGACACCTGGAGCTCCTGGAAGTTTGGAGAAAGAACCTGGGTAGGACGGGGACCTCAATGGGGTGCAATGCCAGAAAGTCACTCTCCAAAGCATCCATTTTCTGCAGGGGCAGGGGTCGTTTCCTCCAGGAGCGCACAGGAGCGGAGCTCCGGCAGTAAAGAGCCCAGGGGGCGGGCACATGCAACAAGCCCCACCCCCTGCTCCCAGCAGCCCTCAGTCAGAGCAAGAAGCAGCCAGGTAAGTTGCAGAGC